AAGGTCGGATGCATAGATGATGAACAGGATCAAGCATTTTAAAGGCACTCGGTGTCGCAGACTGATATACTATTGCCCCATAGTCTAGGCGGCTACGTATGAGACTTCTATACAAATTCAATAAGCAATTCTTGTCAATTCCCCACGCAGAGCGTGACAACGCTTTCAGAACGATCATGCCTTTTATGCACTTGTTTTTTAAATACCTAATGTGTGGTATGCAGATTAGCTTGGTGTCCAAGATGAGGCCTAAAAACTTGTGTTTGGTGTTAGCAGAAAGGCGTTGCCCATGCAGTTGAATATCATGTTCCGAATTAATGCCTCTCTTTCTGGAAAACAAGACAGACGTGCTATTCTGTGCATTTAACCGGAACCCCTTTTCTTCAGCCCAAATGGAGACTTTGTTCGAACCAAGCTGAACTTGGCGCTCACACAAGGCCAGATTGCAAATTCTGAAGCCAAGCTAGACGTCATCGACTTATGTAAAAGAAAACGTATTGCGTGGGATGAACAAGCGCAAAGAATTCATTTCGATGAGAAAAAGTGTGCAAATAAGTACACCACCTTGCGGCACGCCTGTTTCTTGGACAAATCTTTGGGAAAGAATGCTGCCTACTTGAACTCGGAATGTCCGATTTGACAAGTAACCTTCGATCATGTTAAACATTCTTCCGCGCACGCAAAGATGGGACAGGTCTCGTAATATTCCAAAGCGCCATGTTGTATTGTAAGCCTTTTTGATATCGAGAAACACAGACACAATATATTGTTTATGGACGAAAGTGTCTCTGATCTGTTCCTCGATACGAAAAAGGTGCTCTGTGGTCGATCTACCCACACGAAACCCGCACTGAAATGGGTCGAGCAAATTGTTTGTTTCAAAGAAATGTACAAGTCGGCAGTTGATCATTTTTCTCTCTTCGGCTGGGTTAGCTGATCTTTATGTAATTCATGTGTATTGACAACAACGTATGCCGCTATTTCTTCTTAGTTTTTACAACCAATGTTCTTGAAATGTATGATTTATAAATTCTCTGTGTAACCCCCCCCCACCCACTGTAATGCCTAAATGGTGCTGTGGGTACGAGTGTAAATAAATAAATAAAAATAAATATACATTTGCACAGGCAGCTTGTAAGTGCAATTAGCCTATAGCTCGAAACTGAAGAAGGGTCCTTGCCCTGTTTAAAAATGTGAATGACAATAGCTTATTTCCAGGAAGTAGGGATAGTGCCAGAAAACCAGATAGTATTGTACAAGCAAAGTAAGGTTTTTTGGGTTTCAATTGGTAGGTTTTTTAACATTTTGTACACCACACGGTCAGAACCTAGAGTGGAGTCACTGCAGGAGTTCAGTGTTGTTTGCAGCTCAGGCAAGCTGCAAGCTTGGTTGTACGCTTCGTATGTTGTACACTTGTGTTCGAGTTTTTACTTTTCTAATTTTTTTATGTATTTTTGGAAAGCGTCAATATAGTGCGACGAGCTGGACACCCGTGCGAAGTGTGCACTGAGGAAGTTCGCCTGATCTTCCAAGGTGTCGTCCTGTGTGTTTACGAGTTGGAGTGTGTGTGCTTGTCTTCCTGCTACCCTACCAACCATGTTCCTAACTTTAGCCTCCCATGTATAGAAATTTATCCCCAATATAAACTTAGGCCAACTTTATCTTCTGGCCAGGCGACGCGTTCATCTCGCCTAAGACTTCATTTCTTAATAATTTCAAGATTTTCGGCTGTCGGTGAGTTCCGAAGCAACATCAATGCTTTGTTTTGCTGCTTGCGTGCATTTTGGCACTCAGTTCCACCATTGCACACGTCGTTTTCCAGGGTGTTCATTCGTTTGTGGGATGCATTTTGTTGCTGCATCAATCAAGAATTAAGTGAAGTAGTTGACAGCAGCATCAATGCTTAAAGTACATATGTCGCGCCAACCTAAATGAGTGATGGTATAAAACAGTTCCCAATTGAATTTGCTTAATAGTCATTAGTGAACCTGTAGCGGGCATTCAGTTGTTGTGGGTGTGCTAAAACTACAGGAAAGTGGTCACTTCCGTAGGAATTAGTGATGACTTTCAAGTGAAGTAGAGGCACAAGCGATGGAGGTACTATGCTTAGGTCTACTGAGGAATAAGTATTGTTAGCGAGTTTATAATAAGTTGGTTCTTTTCGATTCAGAAGACACGCACTATAAGAGGGAAGAAACTGTTCAATCAGTCGACCTCGGGCGTCCCAACGAAAGTCACCCCATAGCCCGCCATGGACATTCAAGTCTTCAAGGAGAACAAAAGGTTCGGGAAGTTCATCGATTAAGGACTGGAATTCATGTTTTTGTAGGTGATAGCTTGGAGGTACGTAAAGAGTGCAAATTGTTACGAGTTTGTCGAAAAGCACAGCTCGAACAGCCACTGCCTCAAGAGATGTTTGGAGTTGAAAGTGTGTGCATGCAATCTCTTGATCCACTATGATGGCAACACCTCCGGATGACGTCACGGCATCATCACGGTCTTTTCGGAAAATAGCGTATTTACATAAAAAATTGGTGTGTTTTGCATTTAGGTGTGTTTCTTGTACACACAGCACTTTTGGCGAGTGTTCGTGTAAAAGTTCTTGGATGTCGTCAAGGTTCCTGAGAACGCCCCTCACATTCTATTGTATAATTTGAGTGTTCATGGTGAAGGTAAAGTAGTGCTGTGTGTACGAGGAGCGAGTTTCCGTTTAGGATGGGAGTTTGAGTTCAAGTAACAGGGCCATCACCAGGCCCTATTATTTGTTTTTTTTGTTTTCTTGACAGGTTCTAAGGATCCACGCCGCTCTTTCGGCACCAAGGGTACTGACGTATCCATTGCCTCCTCAGAGGCACTAGATGCCCGCACATGCGAGCTGGTTGTTAGAAGTTTGGGTCTAGCCTGGGGAGGTGAGGCCTTGATTCCTGAGGACCCTGGGGTCTCCGGTCTCTTTTCGGGAGTAGGCGGAGTAGTCTGGACTACACCCGCCTTGGGGACAGGTGCCACAACCTCCGGCTCAATATATGCAGGCCGAGGGAGTGGCGAGGGCTGGTGCGGCGGTGCCCCCTTACGCGCCGCATCAGCATACGTTGGGCTACAAAATGGCGAGACTCTTTTCCTTGCTTCCTTGAAAAAAAGTGTTCTTTTACTTTCACCCTTATTATCTCCTTTTCTTTCTTCCAGTATAAACAGGAACCTGAATATGCCGCATGGCTTCCTTCACAGTATACACGGTGCGGCTGCTCTTTGCAGTTCTCAGACACGTGGCCCAGGACTGCACATTGTGCACAGGTCTGGCGACAACGACAGCTTTTAAAGCCATAGCCATACCTCTGACATTCGAAGCAACGACCGTGGTTTGGTATGTATGGCCTGATTGAAGTTTTCGTGTACCCTGCTTGAATTGTTTCTGGTAATTTACCTGAAGCAAACGTGAGTATTGAGTGTTTCGTTGGTGTTTTCTTTTTGTCTCTTCTGATGATAATTCTCTGTACATCAGTCACATTTTGGCTCTTTCATCCCTCCCAAAAGTTGAGTCTCGGTCAGGTCAAGTAAGTCCATGACAGATACCACTCCACGGGTTTTGTTCGTTGATCCGTGTCGTGTTACGATTATTGGTATGCCACCGAAATCTGAGAGCTTATCGAATTGTTCTTTGTGATGGATTTCGAGGAGAAGGTCTCCGCTGGCCATTTTCGTTACCTTGTATCCAGTACCAAGAGCTTCGGTGAGACATCTAGCAACTACGAAGGAAGAGATGGTCCTGGCTTGCTTTCCAGTTTTTTACAGTGGATAACATGAAAGTGGGGAAATGTTTCTGTTGGCCTGTTGAAAACGTTTATGTCATCAGTGCGTACCCGCTTTAAGTTGGTACGATCAGTAAGTGACGGTAATGCATTATGCATGCCGGTTTTAATTTTATTCAGCAGCGTTTGCGACCACCCACCATGGAGCGCAACGAGGGGACGCTACAAGTTGCCGACGCTAGCCGTACAACGCCGCTATAACCCAATGCGCCTAGGCCAAGGTAGGCTATTTGCACAGGGTTCTTTTATTTTGGGTTTATTTCCAACACAAAAAGCCCTCCCCGCCAGAAAAATTGGAAGTAAAAGGAAGAAACAAGCAGACAGGAAAGGTAAAAAGTGATGGCAAAGACGAAGATGTAGAGAGAGAGCAAGGGATAGGAAAAGGCGACTGCCGAATCACCCGCAGTCCAGGGTCAGTTCAGGGGCGCCGTCTACGTGAAGCCGAGGCCGAAGGGGTCTGTTGCTTCTGCCGGGGGGCCTTGAAGGGCCAATCACCCGGCGTCCGCTCAACCCCCCGGATCCTATTTTTCCCCGGAATCGGCAAAGCCACGCACGACTAGGCGTGGGAGGGGGTCGAAACCCACCCCCCCGCGTTAGCTCGTGTCCGTGGTGTCGCTACACACGAAACGCCTGCTTGCGCAGAAGCCCCTGGGGGGTTACGCATCCAGTCAAAATATGTTTGTTGTACTGCATGTTTTCACATTATTTCACTCATTGTGGTTTACAACATTTGTATGCACAACAGAAAAATTATGACTGAACTTTTGTTCACGTGTTTCGTAGATGTTTGCTGGTAGTACAATGTCATCTTTTTTTCCTTTCTTGCCATTCAGTGTTTCCACTTTTTACTATGGAATTTCTGATGAATTTCAAAACTCTGTTAAACCTTGGGTGGTAATAACAGTGACAAGCGGTTAACCTGTCTTTATTCGTACTGTACCTTGATATGAATTATGTTGAAAAAAAACAAACTTGCTGCATTGAGCGAAATAAGCTCACGGAACTAAAACAGAACTCTGTTAGTATCTTTTTGAGTCCCCCGACTCTAGTCGTTCACAAGGTGACGATTCTTGTCAAAATTGTTTCATGAATTTCGCGCTGATTTCTCGGTAAACATGTATTGCCTGTTAAAGAGGCAAACAGCGTGAGCTGAGAAAATGTCTGAACATGGCCTCTTACTAAACATTGAAACACTTTGCAATGTTGCACTTTTTTATTGATTCCGCTGCACTGATACTTCCACGGTGACTCATCTGGCGTTAACCAAATGTAATTCTCTCTGTGGCTGTCCTGTTAACCAGCGCTTTAACTTACATTCAGTGCAGCACTCGTGAACTGTCCTACTCCACCCGTCATGATCGCGAAGGCAATGATAGAGACTTTTTGAGTAGCCCATAACCTGAAAAAAAAGAATGTTTCTACATTATCACATGTATTATCAAGGCCTTAGTAAATCAGAGAACAGTCACTATATTCAGTGATAACGGGAAGAAATATACGTATGCACTAGAATATTGCACTGCTGAAAGAATTGCAAAACCTCGAGTTATCTCTTTTTCAGCGCGGTTTTGGAGGCAGCAAGTCTTTTACCACAAAACCGATAAGGGGTGCATAACCATGGTCAAGTACATTTATTACATGCAAATCAATCTAGTTAACTTACAAGGAAAGGGAGACAGAAGGTGAGGTGGGCAGATGAGATTAAGAAATTTGCGGGTGAAATTGGCAGCAGCAAGCACAGGACTGGGTTAACTGGCAGAACATGGGAGACACCTTTGTACTGCAGTGGACGTAGTCAGGCTGTTGATGATTATGATCACTAGGAAAGGACGTTTTCGGATAGCTGGTGCTTGCTACAATTCAAGAATTCGATAGTAGCGCTTGTGGTGTATGGCTTTGTCTGCCCGTAATGTCTTTTATGCGCTACATTACAAATTAGAACCTTGTTAAGGTTTGAGTTTTTTCGTTGAAATATAGCATAATATTTATTGAGCGCAGTACTCACGGCTTCGCACCTCCGATATACTCGATCGACGATGAGGCTTTGGTGGAAGTGGTTTTTGGGCATACAGGGAAGTTGATCCTGCAAAACGGTTAGTAGAGCATGGAATCTTCACTTGTAAAGAAGTCGGGCATATGCATGAAACAATCGATTTATATTGTAGCATTGATATATGGCACAGGCAGGAGCACCAGTGAAAGAAGAGAAGGAAGGGTGTTGTTGCTGCTCGCGCACACTCCACTTGACAGCTGGTCGGCTTTACCTCTGCGTTTCCCCCAATAAGAGTGTATTCAGCTCACTGCTAAAGGCGTACTAACAAGTGGTGGAGAGTGCTGGATCCATTTCCTATCCTGGAGCTCCGCAACCGAACTCTACCTTAGCTGTCAACGATGTCCACCGACGTTGCACAGCAGACCATTCCTACATCCCCACCTGCCCACTGTCCCGGTGTCCCGAGAGAACGAGACCCAGTAATCTTCAGCGGCACTGATTAGCAGGAAGTCGAGGACTGGCTCTCTTTGTACAAGAAAGTAAGCGTCAATAATAGATGGGACGAAAACGACAAACTTCACCGCGTCCACTTTTACCTGAGAGGAGTAGTGGAGCTCTGGTTTAACAACCATGAAGCTGAGCTTATCGACTGAGCCACTCTCAAGATCACCTTCGCGGACGTGTTTGGCCGACCAACAGTGCGCATCTCTGCGCAGAACAGCGCTTGCGAGATCGCACCCAACTGTCTGGAGAGGATTTCACGTCCTAAATCGAAGACGTTGTGGGCCTATGCCGTCACTACAATCCCGACATATCCGAAACAGCCAAGGTCAACCATATTATGAAAGGCATCGAAGATGATGCCTTCGACATGCTTGTGGTGAAAGAACCGCGAACAGTTGCGGAAGTTATTCAGCACTGCGAAAACTACGATGAGTTGCGAACACAGCGCTATTCAACACAACGCCCTACTTTCAACATGACGACCACGCCACCATTGACCGTAGGTGAAATTTCACCAGAACATATGGTATTAACACCGCAAATCCAACAGTTCATATGAGAGGAAGTGGCTGGCCAGTTGTCTCTTGCACCCTTCCTTCCCAGCAATACTCACGGGCTGACCTCGTCACTGCGCCAGAGCATCGAAGAGCAAGTCTGCGAGGCACACCCTCCCACGTACCAGCCACCGCCAATGTCCGCTCCTCTGACTTACGCTGACGTCGCGCGAGTACCGGCACATGCGCCGTCAAATGTCGTCTACTCTGCAAACCAAACGAACGCCTTCTACGCAACACGCGTACAGGCAGGTTTGCTTGTTCCCCTTTCTCGCCCTCCTTTAACGCTTTCCAACAATCTTTGGCGCACACCGGATAGCAGACCCATCTGCTACTACTGTCGTCTGCCTGGCCATGTTGAGCGGTTCAGTCGCTGGCGCGTCCCTCATCCAGGTACCATCGATCAAACCTGCGGCTACGCCCACAAAGAGCCACCACAGACGCTACCTCTCGATGCTACTTCGGATACCCCTCCACCGAGCCGCCGCGCCTTCAACCAGCACCGATCGCCCTCCCCACGCCGACGTTCGCCTTCACCGATGCTTTGGTGTGCACCACCTGCCCAAACGGAAACTGGCCATCGCAGTTCTGGAGGCTAGAACTACGCAACCGTCGAACTCTACAAGTCCTCGTCCTCTACCCACTAACGAAATAACTGTTTTTATTGAAGGTGTTACCGTTCAAGCAATATTTGATATTGGAGCTGCCGTGTCTGTATTGAGTGAAGCAATGTGTCGCAAATTAAAAAAAGTTACGATTCCGCTTTCTGGCTTCTCCCCGCGTACGGCAACCACGCATCAAGTAAAACCTTCTATGACATGCACGGCTCGGCCACTCATCCAGGACGTTCTGTACATGGTTGAATTGATCGTTTTTCTATACTGCTCACCTGACGTGATATTAGGCTGGGACTTCCTTTCTACACTTCATGCCCTTGTGGACTGTGCCCGGGCCAAACTGGAATTACCATCACGCGCCGACGACAATTCTAACAAGCCTTCCTTTTCTCCTGTTGTCGCCGCTGACACGGATAACCCGTTTATGTCGTCGGTTATTGTGCCCATCTCCTGTGACCATGCTGCTTTTTTGAACGTCATGTCCACGCCGTCTGAAGACTTCGCTTCTCGAAAAAACGTTCTTATATCTTTTGCACTTCTGATGGTTGAAAACACTTCCGCAACCATTTACACCAGGAATCTCCTTTCAGTGCCAACCAGATTATTCAGTGGCGAATGCATCGGCCGTTTTGAGGACAATAATTGTGTTTGCCCATGTTAACTGCTTGATCGCGCAGCAAGCCTTCGGATCGCCAGTGTTACTCCCGCTCCTACATTCACGACATCTTCCCTGGACGCCTTCCTTCCAACGATTGATTTGGATCTTCCTGTTTTCCAACGAACCCAACTCTTGACACTTATTGACCGCTTTCGGAAGTCTTTCCACTTGAAGCAAACCAATTTCTGCCGAACATCTGCAATTGTTCATCGTATAGACACCGGCGCCCACGCACCATTGTGTCAGCATCCATACCGGGTCTCTCACTCTTAACGCCATGTTATTGACGATCAATTGTTTGATATGTTCAATCATGGCCTCATACAGTCATCTAACAGTCCGTGGGCCTTGCCAGTGGTACTGGTCAAAAGAAGGACGGGAGCATTCGATTCTGTGTTGATTACAGGCGCCTTACAAAGATAACGCGCAAATATGTTTATCCACCGCTCAGAATTGACGACGCTCTCAACTGTTTGCAAGAAGCAGAGTTGTTTCCTTCACTGGATCTTAGATCAGGATACTGGCAAGTACCCATGGATGAATCTGACCACGCCAAGACTGCGTTTGTAACTCCGGACGGCTTGTACGAGTTTAACGCGATGGCGTTCCGTCTTTGTGACGCCCCTGCCACCTTCGAGTGTCTGATGGACAACATACTTCGAGGCCTCAAATGACAGACGTGTCTTTGCTATCTGGACGACGTCGTCGTTCTTTCAAAAGACTTTGATACATATCTTCTGCGCCTCGCAAGTGTCCTAAAATGCAACACACATGCTGGGCTCCAACTAAATTTGAAGAAAGTGCATTTTGCCGCCCAGAAGCTCACCATCTTAGGGCATGTTGTCAGCAAGGATGGTGTTCTTCCTGACACTGCAAAACTCCGTGCGGTCGCCCAGTTTCCTAAGCCATGGACACTAAAGGAACTACGGAGCTTTATCGGCTTATGTTCATGCTTTTGTCGATTCGTCCATATTTTCGCATTCGTAATAGCCCCTTTAACACGGCTACTTTCTGACAGTGAAGAAATTTCGGCGTGGTCTTCCGCTTGCGATGACGTATTTTCGAAACTACGTTATTTGCTGACATCTCCACCGATTTTCCGTCACTTTGACCCAGATGCTCCACTGCAATCCACACCGACGCCAATGAAGTCGGCCTTGGCGCTAGTCTTGCTCAGTGCAAGCCTGGCTTCGACGAGTACGTAGTTTCTTATGCCAGTCGCATCCTTACCAGGGCTGAAGAGAATTATTCGGTCACAGAAAAGGAATCTCTGGCCTTGGGCAATTACAAAATTTCGGCCCTACGTCTATGGCCGTCCATTTGACGTCGCGACTGATCACCACGTCCCCTGCGGGTTATTGTCACTAAAAGACCCGTCTGGCCGTCTGGCTCGTTGGGCATTGCGTCTCCAAGACTATGATATCCGTGTCATCTACAGGTCAAGCCGCCTAAATTCAGGTGTCAGTGCTCTTTCCCGCTCTCCGCGTCCCCAAGAACATGGAAGAGCGTCTGTTTCCAGTTTCGATACTGCGGCACCTTCGTTCACTGACATGCACTCCGAGCAGCGCCAAGACGCTTGGATAGTCTCTATGATAGAGGTACTGTCTCAGCCACCCCAAGGTACCGACAATTGTTCACGACGACGCACAGCTCGACGTTTCGCCATCCGCCATGAACTCCTGTACCGTCGCAACTACCTTTCCGACGGCTGCAAGTGGTTGCTTGTGATTACTCGCCACCTACGTGCTGCTATTTGCGACTCCTTTCACGCAGATCCTCAATGCGGTCATGCTGGTGTGATAAAAACGTATGCACACCTCCGGCTGCAGTAACATTGGCGCGGAATGTACCAATTTGTCTGACAGTACGTACGTTTGTATTCTAAATGTCAACGCCAAAAAGCCCACCCAACATAGCCACTGGACAACTGCAGCCGTTGCCTTGCTTATCCTGACCTTTGGACCACATCGGAATTGACTTGTACGGTCCCCATCCCTACATTCCTGAAGGAAACCGCTGGGTGGTTGTCGCTATAGATCACTTGACACACTATGCTGAATCTGCTGCTGTGCCAGAAGCCACATCACGTGAAGTTGCTTGTTTATCCTTCACAATCTTGTTCTTCGCCATGGCGCGCCTCATGAGCTACTCAGCGACCACGGACGTACGTTTCTTTCCGAAGCCGTACAAGCCCTTCTTCGTAAATGCAACGTTGTGCATCGGACAATCAGCGCGTACCATCCGCAAACCAATGGAATGACAGAACGGTTTAACCGCACATTGGCTGTCATGCTTTATATGTACGTGTCCTCTGACCACACCAACTGGGACCGCATACTCCTCTTGGTTACTAACGCTTACAATAGCACCACTCAGTCTACGACAGGATATTTTCCGTTCTTTCTCCTTTACGGGCACGAACCTTCCTTATTCATGTACACGATTCTCTTGTACCGTCCAGACGCTTCAGAATCCACAACTCTATCCGAAGTCGCCCCCTATGCCGAAGATTGCAGGCAACTCGCACGTTCCTTAACCGCACAAAATCAAGCCTACCAGAAGGACCGTCACGATAAAATCCTGCCCCTTCCCTCCCGTCATTTTCGCCTGGCACGGTGATATGGCTTCGCGTTCCCTCATCTGCTGCTGGTCTTTCCACCAAGCTACTGCCGAAGTACGAAGGCCCCTACTGAGTCTACGTCAGTCCTCACCGGTTAACTATATTGTTGAGCTGGTTCAACCATCGAGAAACCAACG